TTTCAAATAAAGCAGGCAGTGATGATTTTTGTTGAATTCTTAATTGATTGTGTTGTTCCCAGTAAACCACCCACAAATCTGAGCGGTTTGCTTAATCCTGTATTTGCGGTTATTCAATACGAAATTTCACAAACGAATAAAAACAATCATACCAAATTCCATTCCCATGAATGTTTAATTATATTTACGTCTATCAACATTTTATATAATTATGTGGCAACGTGACTGGCAAAACGTTTCTATTCAGTTCTCACGGTTTATCGGAAAAACGCAGACGTAAAAACATAATTACTTATCGATTCTACCTTAATGATACAATTAGAGAATGTTTGCTTTGCGATTGGATTTTTCCAAAATTTTATTAGAATTTGGTTTCAAATCGAACATTTTTTCTGTTGGAAAAACCATACTAGGGTGATTACCATGAACGTCGTTTGAACATAGACAAGCGTACATGTAAAACATTATTTATAGTTACTGACTAGTAAAAGAATAGATTAATATTCACTTTTTACAATTTAACGTTATCTGGAGTAAAAGTAATGAATTTACTCTTACAATTTCTCATTGGAAATAACTACAGTAGTAGTAGGCTAAATAGAAAATTACCTATACGGAAAAGGTTGCTGTAATGTACCGTAATGTTTGATGGGTATTTTGTTTACTAAAAACTAACAAAATGATATTTTTAAGCAAAATTGGATATATATTGTATAATCGACGTGCACTTTCACCTTATCCCAGTACTTTGTCATACTAACCAATTACAAATAGAGAACTGAAGAACAATTAGGTCCTTGGCTATGTAAAACAACGTGACACACATTTAGCAAGGTGCTCGCCCAGACAAAGCTCGGCCCCCAGGTACTTGGCTATGTAAAACAACGTACACATTTAGCAAGGTGCTCGCTCAGACAAAAGCTCGGCCCCCAGGTACTTGGCTATGTAAAATAACGTACACATTTAGCAAGGTGCTCGCCCAAAGCTCGGCCCCCAGGTACTTAGCTAGGTAAAACAACGCACACCTTGTCTTTCAGTGTAGTTACCCTAGCAAGGTGCTCGCCCAGACAAAGCTCGGCCCCCAGGTACTTAGCTATGTAAAACAACGTACAGCTCGTCTTGCAGTGTAGTTACCCTAGCAAGGTGCTCGCTCAGACAAAGCTCGGCCCCCAGGTACTTAGCTATGTAAAACAACGTACACCTCGTCTTGCAGTGTAGTTACCCTAGCAAGGTGCTCGTTTCGCATTGGACAAGTGGTCGACGCCATCTTGCGCAAGTAATTTCCTAGAAGCTCACTTATTAAGCGCAAGACGCGATTGGCGGTTCAGAGTTCTCACATATGTTTGACATCTCATGAATAACTGTCACCGACGATCTACTGCTCGTTCCATGTTCTGTTTGCGATACTGTCAAGACCCGTGCAGCTTTGGAGTTACGTTTAGTATGTTATCAGCAAAACAATATTGTTCAATGCATCCCATTGCTATATTACAATCATTCAGCCAAACCTAGTTGCTTCTGCCCGTTTCATATGCGGATTTTTATAATGTCAAATACACTTAAAGCAAGTTCGAATAATTCCAATGTTATTTAAATCTGCGATGATAAATATGACCATGACTTTCCAGACATTATTTGGGGTTTGTTGTTAGTGGTTCGTATCTCTGATTTATGTACGGGAGAAGTGGGTTCAATCTCTGGCACATCCACATTTTTTAGGTGTTTGGATTTTATTCCATGAAAAGGAATACTATTATTTAATTCGTCCTTAAATTCACCATAAGTAAGTATATCTTAAACCCTGACCTGAAATTGCTTTCTACTGTCGATCTTCGTTTGATACGCAGTATAAATAGTCCAAATAGTGAAACTGGCCCTAGAGTCAAACTTTCGAAAGGTTTTTATCAGATCTATAGAAAAATACAAATTGTCGTAGCATGAAATTACTTGTAACCACTTTAGCTTTAGCGTTCTGTTAAAATAAAATAAAATATTCAAATAACAATTCCCCTTTGAAAACCATAACAAAAATCGAAAAAAGAAAGCGATCGAAGAAAACAGCTGTGAAAGTAGTTGTAGATGGTGCGTTATCCAACTAACCTAACTAACTAGAGTTAACTAATGCAACTAACAGCTGTTTTAATTACCAGCCATTGTCCTTGGTGTACAGACAGCCGTGTCATTTGTAGGCCAATTAACAATATATAACCATGCAGCCTTCATGCGCGATCCAACCGTGATAAGACAAAGATAAGGCGAGGTAGCGAGGTTATTATACAAAGTAGATTACGTAAACTGGCCATAAACCGGCCTTTATTCCCTGAATAATTTGCTTTGAAAATGAAACCGATAGGGATTAAGATTCGCACGATAAGATGGTAGATTCGTTTAGGGACATTGTGATAAAATCTCGTTAATTTATGTTCGGAACACGTAAGGGCTCAGATTTGTGAAAGTTTAATATGTAATTGAGAATTATTTGTATGTGCAAAAGTTGTTTCAGGAATTAATTATGAGTTAAGCTTTGACAAATAACTATTGGATACAGAAGAAGACATCCCATTTTTAAGGATCAGCAGTCGCCAATTTGACTTGTAATAATAGTCAAGGAAATTATCGATGAAGCAATGTATTTTCGTGAAAAAAAAAACAGATCAACACGATCATATTTCTGTAAGCCTTTTTCAGGTTAATTAATATTTCTACCACGTACTTGTACAGGGTGTTTTGAAGTTCACCATTTCTTGTAGTTTATATTTTAAACTATTTTGAAAAATATTGCTTGTTTTGTGGTAATTTTACGAAAGAGTAAAAGGCTGTAAATTACGCTCTCAAATAACAGAGACTTCAGATTTTAGAAGGAATGAGAAGACGCCTTGTAGTATTCAAAGTCAATTTCAAAAATGTTTTCCTATTTCCTGCCATACGATAATGGCAACGACAACGTTGTATAGTGCCACAGTTTACAATAACCTACAGGTCTAAATTCCAAGGTACTAGATCCATAACATAATCTATTACATTTTCTAAACGAAAATACGACAATTAGCTCTATTATCAACAGCACTACAATTATTGCACTAGTATGCCTACTTAGTGTATATCACGATAAACGGATCAGCTTTTTCAAACAGAAACGCACAGATTCCCGACGTGTTTCTTCTATTGAACTAACCCAAGTGTCACACGCGGATCTTAGCGGAACTTACAATTACACGTCACTCGGCGTTGCAAAAACACAAATCGCCGTAAATTACTACCAATTTGCCGACGTTAGCCTCTAATTGTCCGGACAAGTAGCAAAGCAGGCAAACAGTTTTTAAACCGCCTCAATTAAATTAATCCCGGGAGGGTGAGGCATCGGAATGATGCATTATTTAAAGGTCTGCGGACTCAGTTTTCGCGGCGCGCCTAGAGGGGAGATTTCATTAAGGGTAATCCAAGGGGAGCGACAAGTGTCGGACGTTTAGGCTTTTAAGAGACCCATTTTGATTTAGTCATCGACACATTAAGAACAATCGAGCTCGACGGGGGCAAATCCCAACGGCCCTGGGGTGAGCTCCGGGGATATGTAGATACTGGGGAATAGAAAGAATGCGTCATCCAGGGGGAGTGAGTGGGCTGTGAAACTGATTTGTTGTGAAAAATATTTACTCTGGATTAGAGTAAGGGATTTGAAAGTAATCTTGGAATGGAAAATTACTGAGGATTTGTATCAACCGAGAGAAAGGAGTTATTTTTATGTCTAAGGTCTATTACTTGTGATCATCAGATATCGGCTTACATGATATTAATCATTCTAAGTGACCATTGAATATAAGAAATGCTTTTTTAACTGTAAGCTTAAAAAAGTATTTTAGGAGCGTTGTTACAACTCTTTGGGGGGAAACATTGGAAACGGTAACTAAACAGTATTTCTTTAAAAACGATAGCGTGAATTTGACGATGACTCACCAGAACTTTAGACATTCTATACTACTAAGCAGACAGAAACCCACTACTTTACCTACATGCAAGGAGTAGTATATAATATTTAAGACATGCACTTAGATTGACTTTGTCGAATTTGATCCATTGCACCATAAGATCACATTAAAACATTAACGCCCAATTCTGCCGTTCTAATTATATAATGATAACCAAGCGGTTTAGTTGATATATTCACAAATATGTGTTAGATGTAGATGTAGATGTGTTAACATAAATTTTTGAAAAACATAGGTAACACTTCTAGCTAGACCCTGTGATATAGTTATCATCACTTGATCGCACATTATATGTATTCATGGTGATTTCCATACATAAGTAGCCTACATGAAGATACCACAAAATCTAACATTATTTACACCGTATGGTGTGCTTTTCCAATGAGTGTAGGAGTTTTGCCAACGGGTATCAGGTAGAAAGGGTCCCCATCCATGAATTCTTCATACTGCGGAGTTTTGCCAACGGTTGTGGGTTGCGTGAGAGGGGGAGGGGGAGAGAGAGAGATTACACCTGACCGTGAGGGTGGCTTCCGCTAGGGGTGGACATTGGACAAACCAGGCAGGATGCTGACTGTGTTCAAAGATATTCTGTGCTCGCTGGTTCAAAGTAATGGAGTTATGCACCTCTGACTGTGAAAGGAAATGTATTGCATTTTTTACCTAACCTAACCTAACCTAACCTAACCTAACCTAACCTAACCTAACCTAACCTAACCTAACCTAACCTAACCTAACCTAACCTAACCTAACCTAACCCACTGCGACAAGCGCATAACTGCCAAGCGTAGACAACCCTGACAATCGCTCTCCCTCCCTCCGTCACACTCTTTCTCAAACCACCACCGTTGGCAAATCTCCGCACCAAGAGGTGGCCGAAGGCATCCCTCCCATCTACCTGACACCCGTTGGCAAAACTCCGGTTCCCTTTTCCAATATGTGGCACTGATGTAGTTCTGATGACTGGTTTAGCAAGTTTGTCGTACTCCAACACTGATACACATTTGTTTTATACAGACATGCTACACGTCAAGGCGGAGCACCATCTCAAGGACCTGGACGACTCTGACGACCTCGACGACGACGAGAGGAAGTCCTACCATCACGGGGGTCACGGCTATCACCCGCACCATCTCATGATGAAGGGAGAGATGCACAAGGACGACTGTGGAGTCCCTCTACCCGCGACCAAGCCGAAGATCTGGAGTCTAGCGGACACGGCGGCATGTAAGACTCCGCCTCCACCCTCGTCGCAGCCCTGGTGCGGGGCCGGTGGCTCGGGTATGGGCCCGATCAACGGGTTCGCCCTGCCCTCGGCCTCGGCGCCGTACTCCAGGTACAGCGGGTTCTTCAACGGCGGCCCCGTGGGTTCCTCAGGATTCCCGGAGGTCCAGACGGACACGCCGCCTCAAACGCCGCCCAACATGAAACTCCCTAACGTCGCCGGGAATATTATCCCTGCTCCAGGAAGTTGTTTTGGGAGCGGAAACCCCGCGCACGCCCAGGGGTACCAGCAGCCCCAGGGGTTCGGGGGGTACCCTGCCCCCAGGCATCCCCAGGATAAGGAGAGACACGAGTACCTTCCGCCGCAGCACCATCCGCCGCCGCAAGCCGCACCCGTCCCACCACCCGAGGAGACCGCCTTCAAACCCTTCTATAAAAAGTAAGTACTCAGGACAAGTATTACGGTAATGGTAAGTATTGCAAGGTTAACAACATTTAGTAAAGCTATGAGACTCTGAATTAGGTTAATACATGACATTAGGAAGCTCAAACTGTGTTTTAAATTGCAATGAAATGTGAGTGGGAAATATGCTATCTCTTCGTGAAGCGTTCCAATCTATTTTATTTAATAATAAACTGTATTGCATATTTACATTTTACATTATCTACGAACATTTTAACGTTGGCAGTCATACTAGTTTGCTATACTTGTTTCATATTGAATCCAAATAGAGTATGTATTATTAACCAAGGTATAAAAGAAAATAACAGCTTTACAGAACAACTGAATATCTGTGTAGGAATTGACGGAAGGCATGTTCTAGATGTTAAGTGTGAACGTAATAAAGATCTATGGATAATTACGGTAATTTTAGTGTCTATGAATAAACATATTTAATTTCTGCATTCTTCCATTGTTTGACTTATCAAGACGTTCAGCAATTGATTGATCTTGTAGGCAAAGTATTGTCAGTATTGCAGATTATAAATTTTCGCTTGCGAAGAGCCTTTAAATGAAGGAAAACAAATTCAGTCGTAATGATAGTCCACATCACTTTTATAGTAAACCCCCATTAACCTCAGTAAAGTTGCTGTTTTGTGGATTATTATTTCGTCACTAGATTTTACTCATTTCGATTCTTCTCTCCCCAAAGTGCCTCTAACACTTCAGCTCAGCAGTGTTTTGGTGATGAGAGTAATCAAAAGAATACCCAATACTTTGTTCGGCCCTTTAAACTATCTAATCCAATAGAAAGGCAAGTACACAAACTTATGGAAACAAACACCACAATTTTTCCCAGCAGTCTACTCGGACCTACTTCCTCTACTTCTTGCACCTGACATTCACCCTCGTCTGTCTGTTGCTAGTTCCGGGAGTATGAGCGGCGGCGGGTTCGTGTCCCCGGTCTAGGAGCTGCCCCACGGGCCTTCGCCCTTCGCGGTACCTCTGACTTCGCCCGTCCCTCCCCCAGGTAGGCGCTTATTACATTCGTGTTTTAAACAATTCTGTGATTGTAAACGTAAACGTATAATGTTTCTTGGCATAAAACACGATTTAAATTTTCTAGTCACTATCAAGAGTCGATACACAAACTGTACGGAGGCTTAATCCTGAAGATTGTGCTCCACATAGAGACTGAACGTTGTTTTAAAGTGGTTCATCTAATGACAAATTGATTTTGACGTCACCTATTGAACGAATATACATAAGTTAACATTTACGTATGTTTGTACTATATCGGAAATAGAGAACACTCAAACTTAAGAAAACCAATTAAGTGTTTGTGACAACACTTGCATCTCCTTTTAAAACATAAACTCAGGTCTTGGCTCGCAATAGTGACTGATTTAAGATTTGCTTTGACTAATTATCGTCTCAAAAGTACTCATTGAATACTTAATTATATCGTAACTGTTTCCCAATCATAACCTGAAACTATTTCTAAATTAATCATGATGTATTTAATCGTCTTGTGTTTGTAGAATTTGGTACATGAGTCTCGGTATAACGTTCCCCACTAGGTCAATGAATAATTTGTTAGATGAAAGCAACTACGAACTAAACAAGCCTGAACCATCCTGTGCAAAATTATCCACATTGTTGCTACAGTAATGTCAAAACTATGCCAGCCAATCATATCAGCTCGTATTAATATTGAATACCACAGTAATACTTGTGTTCAAAACTGATATTGTATATAGATTAATTGAGGTTTGGGCGTGATGATTGACAAGAGTATCTTCTCAGCGAGAGAGACTGTATTAATCTTCGACAAATTAAACATTATTAGGAATTTAGACTGTTTACCTACATATTTGTTTCGTTTTATATTAAAAAATGGTAGGCCTACTGAAATAGAAAAATAACTATTCATAAAATCGCTTGACCACAAAATGAGCTTTGTAATACTGGAAATACAGCATTTTGAATTTATGTTCATGATTATGGTTAACAACCAGGTTTAAATTTGTTACGTTCATTAAAATTAACTCAAAATAGTTTGCAATACCACAGTAATTAATAACAGCTTGATCAACAACTTAAAGTTAATTAACTAGTGCAAGCAAAGCTTGACAAGGTCATGTGGAAAAAAAACTTGTTTTTAAAACCAACATAGAAGAACATTTACTCAAGTTGTACTACATCGTGTTAATTAAAAATTCAAATAGCCAATAATCTAAATACAAATGTACAACTTCAATTATGTTGGAGATGGATTGTGGATTGCGTTATTACAAATTGAATCAAATAAAGTTCGTGTAAAAACAAGTACTACAGAATGAAGAAAACTGGTATAACGGGTAGATTGGGCTCGGCAGTGCAAGCCATTATACAGGCCACACGCAGAGGTTGAAAACAGGCCCTGGATTAAATAAAAAAATAATCGTATTATATTTTTAAACGTAGTATAAAGCTATATATTTTAGATGAATATCAAGTAATGGTAGACTAGATGCATAATATTCTCATTAACAGATATAACTTGCGATTTATTAGGTTATACAATTCAAATTATTTTATAATTTACTTTTTGGTTATTTCTAAACAATACTAGTTTTCATTAGTTTATCATCGTAGCTTGGTCGAAATAGAAATGGGTTAGGGCTTTAATCTCTCTCATAATCATCGTCACTTACACTTGTGCAAAACTTGAGCTAAGTTTGTTCTGTAGTTTTACGCATTGGAAATACGGATAAAGACATTTTAATTTGCAACAGCGTAGATAAAATTACCAACTGGTGTATAAGATCTATGGTTTATTTGAAATTTTAACAAGATGCGCTACACGGCGATTCTAGCAGCCGCAGCAGGGGTTAGATATGCAATATGAGCACAGCAATCAGATTGCCTACCTCTGCCTGTAAGGCGCTGTATTCTTGGGATGCGAATTATAAACACTACTGTAGAACTACTTTAATTATTTATATGTGGGGAAACTACCAGAGTAAATTTATTATAGCTAACCTCTTTTACGTAAAGTACATGATTAAAATCAGTAGTGTTGAAAACTGCATACATTACAACTTTTAAATTTTTAACCGTCAATATTGTGTTTCGAATCAATGGATTGTTTGTTGTGTAATCGTGTGGAATAAAATGAAATATATTGCTCCAAATATATGTTACGTTGTTAAAAAGTGAGACCTAAAACAAAATTGTGTGATGCAAGTCTATTAAAATAACACGTTGGAAAAAGTAAATATCTCCCTGTAAACTATTGAAAAATAACATCTACTGAAAAATAAACGTTTATATTCGTACTTTCGCAATCTATTGTCTTGAAATTAAATATAACAAACCAGAATCAGTTTGTTAATAACATATATACATAAATAACATGTTTATATTTAACAAACCAGCGTCCATTGTTTAAAAAAAGTCTGTTTCAATACGAATTTTCGAATTTTATCCAACGATGGATATAAAAGTTGGAAAAATATATTTATTTTAAGTTTGGGAGCTACACAACTTTTTCAGCTCAATTTTTTCAGTTAACTAAAATCTAGGTTTATTTGTCGAGATTCAAACACCAAAATCGTGTTGCTAGCGACTAACCAAACAATTAAAATTCACACGTACTCAAGTACACACGCAGCTTATTATAGTGTTCCCACATAGTGTGCATACAGACGATAAATATTTAACTAGATACAGTGAGCAGTGGGCGGAGGCGCGGCCTAGCGGCAAACTGCAATTAAATCTAATGACATCGACAGCCTCTGAATGGTTAATCATGGCTACGGCGCCACCAAAGTGGCTTATTCACTCGTTTGAATACAATGAATTGTATATTTTATACACGCCGGGAGTGGATCAGCTGTTTTTGTCCTATTGTTGCGCCACTGACAGCTGATGCTGGGTAGACGTCCAATAGTCACTCGCTGCCTCTTTGTCAACTTTTCATATCTGAACAAAGTTGATCAAAGTGTAAATATGTAAATAATTTATTGGTGATGATAAACGCGTTTGTTTATAGTTGTGGCTGGGCTTAGATACCCTTGATGATTGACCACGAGTATACGATCCCTCTTGTTAAGTTTTATAAAGTTTATTGAAGTGTAAATATTTAATTTAATTGAATCTATAATGGGCTCAGTGCCCTTGATAATTTAGCTTTAAATATGACCCTGCATAAAGAAACAGCTGGTGGGAAAAATCCTAAGTCAATGACAAAGCTACTCATGCAATTTCACTTCATTCTACACCAATCCTTAATTCATTATTAGCTTAAAATATATGCTTTGCCTCGGCCGTTACTGTCGTAAAAAATGCATGATTACAAAATAATTAATGCATAACACCCAATACAAAACGTCAATGTGTATTACTCACGGTTCTAAAGGGATTTTAAATCACAACATTACAAGGTTCATACGTGTGCAAGACGTTTTAATGTTCAAACAATAAGTATATTTCTGCACAGTAAAAATATCCACCACAACTTGGGTATTTCAAATCCATTCCAAGAATACTGTGGAGATATTTAATTTTGACTGATTGTCTTGATGGATCTACGTAGGTCATATTATTGTAAGACATGTACGTTTAGGTGTTTGCAAGAAAGAGGAGTTCCTTCAAAGATCCATTACATCTCGGACATTTAAAACTGTTAACACAATTAAGGCGGTTATATTTTTTCACTAGAAGTATTTCAAGCCTTGGTAGTTCTACAATGGCCACTTTCTTGCAAGGTGTATATATTTACGGGATGATTAGGTGTCCACACAATACAGTCTTGTGCTGAACATCTTGTTTGCTTCCCAGATTATTTCTGTGAAGACCAATTTGACTCCACAACCTCAGTGTCAGCTCATTCTATTCCCTGTGGAGAATTGGAAGGTCCGACCAGACTAGTGGCCGATAACCTAGCTTTTATTGATACTCGCCATAAAACTCGACTTCCTGTGTCTTGTGATCTCATCTCTCGCCCACTATCTCTCTCTCTCTCTCTCTCTCTATCTCTCTCTCTCTCTTTCTCTCACACACACACACACACACACACACACACACACACACACACACACACACACAGACACACATACACGACCAGTTTACCTCCTCTCTCTGTCTAGCCTTCCCGCTCGTGCCGACTGTCTCGTAATTTTTAACCCAAACTCAATTCCTTTTTGTTCCTCGCCACATAGGTGCTCGAAAGTTCCACATCGCTTCAAGCTGACATTAGACAGTCTTATTCCTTAAAATATCGACAATGATGAGGAAATCAATGTGGTTTTTATCATATATTAGATTGTATTCCAATTTTAGTGACTGAATTTCAACTAAAAATAAGTATTCTTCTTAGTTTCGTACATTAAAAACATTTAGTTGATCCACAAATGACAAAACAGTAACAATAAGTGATTATAACTTATAAAATGTGAATAGATTTCTGATAAACAATTCGTGCAAATTATTTTGATTACATATTAGAGAATTTTTTATACATAAAACATTTAACGAATTGAAGTACTACAATGTAAAACATGCAATCCCATTGTATGGTTTGGCTTGATTATGTTTATTATATCTTGGACCATGTAGGAAGCCCTCTGACTCTGATACTGTTAATGATCGAAAACTGTGTTTAAGAGGATTAAATATGTACAATCAATCGGTGTTTGAGATGAGTGATGTGATGAAAGACTTTAGAAAAAAGTCTAACCACGTGAGCCGCTGCTCCCCATCCTTACGTACAATTCCATTATTGGGATTCGTTACTTACTTTATAGTCATCTATGTTTCTGGATATTCTGCTAGTAGAATTACTATTTAACAACTTGACTGAATATTATCGATTGGATCTCTAATCGTCAACGATGTTTCAGGGGAGAGGACGATTGCTGGGACGACCCGTAGACAGCAGACCTCACCGTTGACGACATCGTCTGCATCGTTTTTGTTCTAGTCTCACGACCACTATCTCAGCTCGTATACGATCACAGTCACTTCTAGATTCGAACCCGCAACCCTCCACACCACAGCTACAGCCTCATATGCACCAGCGATCTCAGATATTCCCCGACGGTTTTGTTCACAATACATGTTTTGTAATGTTGATGTATCGTTGACAGTTTGGAAAGACTGTATTTAGTTCAAATATGCTTACGAAATGTGATAACCGAATATTTGGCAAACGATTTTCTTATGTGCAATAGGTTTGGAACGTCCACAAACTAAGTATTGTTTAATGATCAAATGTTTGTAAGATTTGCATTACTTTTGCAACAAACTGCAGTTCTGGATTACTACCTTTTGATGCCTTAGACAAAACTTGCTGTTTTGGAGTAACTAAAACATATGTTTAAATATTTTGTTTTGGAAAACTAATTGTGAAACACAAAACAAACACAATGACTGTAGTTTGTTGTCGAAAGCGAGCAAACTCTCCGATTCCGTTTCATGCAGTGAGTTTGGTTGTATGTTACTCGATTGTTATCTTTGTAAATATCGTGCAAGGGCAATGTGCAAATGTAAAATGTTTATTGTACATAGTTATCTGCCTATTTATTAGATAAATTTAGGACAATTTTTATCAGAACTAGGCACATTTCCACCGTATATTCTCGACTTTATATTTTTTATATCACAATTTCTGTATGTGTCAGCAATGTTATGTCGTTTGTTGTACGCCACTTTTTCACTAAATACGTTTCAGTGTCATTCTATAGCAGGAGAGGGTGTTTTGGAGTGTATTTTAGAGTTTATTATGAGCTTTTCGAGTCCAAATCCCCTGCCTCGGTTACGAAAATCCCCTGACATTTGGCTACTTACCTTAACCCCGACCCGGCGACCCTCCCTTCAACTGTTGAATTTTTAAACAATGAATTATCGTGGGGTGAATACGGGGGTTGAAACTATTATGGAGTATTTTGTATTTAAATCAATCTCGGCTATGTTGAAACACCTGTTTCATTTTATGCTTTGTGACGCTTAATATTCTATTGTGTAAAACAAATTAATTTTTTTAGTTCAAAATTCGTACGATAAAATTAACACGAATCAAATAGTTGGTGGATTAAATTAGATAGAAATTGTTAGTTTTGTACTCAGATGCTATTTGTAAATGTGCTAATAAATAATATTGTTTTATAATAAAGAGGTCTACGTAGATAGATGGGTTCCGACGGTTTACTCATAAAATGTTAGTAACGTAAATTAACACGAATCGGAAAAAATCTAAGAAACCTGTGTTACTATTTTCAATCAAATTAAAACTACGTTCTTGTAGAATCGCACGATATAAAATAACCCAAACTCCAAAGGAGATGGTTTACCCAAAACCGGTTGAATCAATTAAGCCCGGCCATTCATTCTTCTCAAATTAAATAGACGCCTGTCAAACTTAGACGTCGGCTTTTATTTAGAGCTTTATAATTAGTTCCGACTTGTGATCGCCGCGATCGTAAATCAAAAGGTGTTTGAAATCGTAAATGTCGTAGAATTAAAACGACACGTCGTACATCAATTTATCAGCTGTAGTCGGTAGCCGGGTAGCTATTAGATAATACTGTTGCTTAAGTGGTGTTTAAAACAGTCTAGGCCTGTCTACACCTGATAGGAGTGATTTGGTGAACCCAACTACTTTGCATTGAATCTTAAACATTCGTGCGTCATTTGTAAAAGGTTATAAAATTATCTAGTATGTTTGTGTGTTAAAAATAAGGCATTTTTATTTACTACCGCCTATTATGGGTTATACCATCCACTTTTAACATTATTTATGCTGATGTAGATAAAAGATTCTGCGCACAGAGTTATGTTCAAAAAGTCATTGGTGATATTTATTTTGCCGTACTCCTGTCAACGCTTTACACATTTTTATAGGAACAAAAAAAAGGTGGAATATTAATGTTTGGCTGTAAATTTACTTATTTTTACCTATAAAACAAGAATCCATTATACAAAGGCATACAAAATACAGGATACAGGATACATCCAGCTGTACAATTGTTAAGTTTTCTTGGTGGACGCTTGTGTAGTATTTTTACCATACGTCCATAGCTCAAAAACTAAAATCTTCACCTCAACAATGTCCTAATATATTGGTATACAAATCCATTTGTAATTTCAACAGTGTAAATGTTTTAGTTAAAAAAAGTCCCATTTCAGGATTATTTGTACACTTTTTTCCTTTGACAAACAGTTTTAATACACAGATATGTATCTAACACCTACTACAGTTGGTTTCCATATTGATTCCAACACGTATTGAACAGGAATATTATCACCTATCAGATTTTAGTAGAAAACAAACAGCCGAAGGTCAGATCCAGGATAGGTTTATCAGATTCCGACATGCCAGAATCGACGAAACCACCGCGTGACTCTAAAACATAACAGGAATTTACTAGGATTATTAAGCGCGATCGAGCAAAAAGGTGAACGTGCCGTCGCTACATAATACTTAGCCGTCATGTACATGTTTACACATTGTTTACCTAGCAGAAACAAAGAATTAAAGCCACCGACACGTCATATGATTATAGTAGTTGTGGCGGTCGCCGCCGCGCGGTGTAGCGCTAGTGTCGCATGTTTACATCGTGTTACATTTCTTTTATTGCTTCCGTTACTCGTGTTTACATGTTATTGTTGTGAATAATATATGCGAGTATACAAATGTGTCCCCATTTGTATTGTCCTATAATGGGATAGGATGGATGAAATGTATTCTACTTATCTAAAAATAGCAAGACAAATTTATTTCAAATTCAACAGGATAGTATATGTCATAACACATTTAAATACACAAGGCTGTGCTGTAAAGATGCTGAGCTTTAAAAAAGCTTTTCAAAACTATCGAACTGTTATTGTAACCGGTTTGTATAGTTCGTCTTCTGGCTACAATTTATTTAGTTGATCTGCAATCAGGTTTTTGTTCAGACACAAACAATACAAAAAGAACGATACAAATTCTTTGGTCTCGTAAAAATACTTGGTAAATACTTAATTTCAAGCAGAGCTCATACATATTTTATATTTGTTTCTATTATCTCCAAGTTAGTGTTGTCAACATTCATTTATCCATCGAGGCAGTAATGCTTTCACCTCCATAATTATTGAATTTTTACGTTTAACTTAACTAAATGTTAGGCTACCACGTGAGTTTTAAACTACATCAATGAAAAATTTAATTCCTAGACTATTTCTGTTTCAAATTAAAAACAGGACCTGAAAATACACTCCACCCCTCTAAACTGGTTCAGTGTTTTAATGTCGGCTTAATTTATTGATTCCTACCTTTTTCATTACACACTCAAATTTGAACTTTGTGGTGTATTGTACAAATTAAAATAAGAAATCGCCGTTTTAAATAATAGATGATGTAAATATTTTATTGATTCTCTCAAAGTGAATGTTAAACATGTTCTTAATGTTTGTTTAAATATTTTTGTTTTTGTTGATAATTTGAGAGGTTTTTGTGTTGTATAGTTTTATTCTTCTTCTGTACATATAGACCTAATGACAATTCTACTGTGTGAATATGGTTGAAATTATTATTATATTGTCATTTTGAAAATATTATAATTATTATTGACTTATGATAAATATTATTATAAATAAACGATATCTCGAAATATTTATTTTGATTTCCTTTTATTTGTTTGGTTTAGAATGTATATTTATTTGTATGTTATATACTCATTTCCCCTACCTAATATTCATTTGCTTTCATAAATAAAGTGTTAGCTCTGAAGCTTATTTTACAACTATTACAAACCTATAAAGTTCTCTGTAATACTTTATCAATATATTTTACACACACTGCACTCATTTCTATAGTTATTAATGTGATAGCTGTTGATTTGGGTTAATGTACTTTTAAAATCATTAAGCTTATTGTACACTGTTTGATTATTACAGCCAGAAATTCAAATATAGCACCCAAAATTAAACACATACTTAGTTTCTTGTCCATGTGTATGTTTATAACAAATGTTAACCGTTGTATAAATCATTAAATACATTTTCAATAGATATGGAATTCCTATGGAAAACATAACACAAGAGCCATTTGCTGTATCAGTATTGATGGAGTAGATCCATAATTAAAACACAAATCCCCTAGAATTGAACTCAATAATTTGTTTCTAAGATTTCTATTGTATATTCAAAATGTACAACAGTAGGCCTACAAATTTGATACAGTTGAAACAAAAACTTAACCATTAAAAATTTAAAAAATAACACTATTCATTTAATAAAAGACACATAACAACATCCAACTTGTTACTTTGTGCATTGACTTACACGGATAAGAGTAGGCCTACACATAATAAAATTTTTTATTCGTTTAAAATAATAATTTCCTATTAAAAGAAACAATAAATGGTAGAGGGATTTCAAAATAAAATTAATTGAACATACATAATTTATTTTATGTTATTAAGGGAAACATATTCGGCTTAAATTTGATCCTGGCTCTATCTAAAATAACACAAGAAGGTAAGTAGTTATTTTGATCAGGTTTTGATATTTTATAAGCTCTTTTTTATGTAATTAGACATCAGAAGTAGTACAAAGAAAACTAGAAAACAGAAACATTTAAATTGTGTGCAACATGTTTGTACTTCTTCCATTTCATTGTCAACATTGTGGTGGAACCTCGTATAAGGCAAGATATTGAGAAGATCACTCATGCTGATATGTTTTTAGAGGCATTTAGCTTTTTCATAAAACTCTAAAGAAGCCTACTGCATGTTTAAAATACTACAAAACTACATGAAAAGCCCTCAGAATTTGAATGCCGATTAAACATTTTATTTATTTTTTAACAGAGAAAACGATTCTTGATCATAGATGGATTAGACAGCACCTCTTTTGACTTTGTCCAAACAGTTTTTTCCTACTTATATATAGACCTACAGCATTTCTTATTATTAGCAAGAACGTGTTAGTTAGATAATTAGGTACTTTCCTGTTAAAGGGAACATTCATTATTATCGATGATTTTTTTTCGATATATCGATATTTTTGTTTCCGATCAGATCTATTACAAATTGACAACAACAACTAAGTGATCTTGTTTAGGCTAAAATAGTCTATATGGATTAAGAAATGAAACTGTTCTAAGCTAACCTAACATAACCAACCAAACTTGCTGTACCATTTAAAACTTCCGTTTGGGTTTGATAATAGAAAAGTCAAGTTAAACACGGAATTTTTAAATGTTACAGCAAGTTTGGTTAGTTATGTTAGGTTATTTTTTTAGAACAGTTTCATAGACTGAACAATATTAATTATCGTAGTTGTCAGCTGATATGTTTCAATTTGTTAATATCGATATATCGAAAAAAATCATCGATAATAATGAATGTTCCCTTTAACAGGAAAGTACCGATAAGTATTAGCGTTATAAGTGCATTTATTTAATACAGTTGTTGATTGAACATACACATGTAAAGGGCAACTAGACAACAAACAACTGACAATCACCCTTAGTTATTTATTAACCAATTTATGTATCTGATTACTTAGTTTATTTTTGCAAAATCGAGAACCAAAATCAGTTAGAAAAAAGACACTCTAACTTACTGTAAACTTAACACCACTACCAATGTTTATTTAACCAAAAACTAATAAAAACATAACCAAAATGTTTAAGGATAACATTATATTTGAATACATCCGAACACGTTTTAGTATTTCAGAATTTCACCTAGGCACATTCAAAGCAGGATCCAAGGATGTTCATTAATTAAAATTTTTATCTAGTAATGAGTGTGAATGGGTAAGTATTTTTTTAGCAGATCAGAGAGCCCATGAAGTCGCCCAGCATTTCGCCCGGAGGCGGTCCGAGGACTCAAGGACATCCAGTATCAGGTAATTAATTAAGGACTCGTCCTGCCGCCCTTTATCAAACGATCGGTCCTTATCTCGGGGTAATATAGGGTTAGGGACATCCCATTCACCCTCTTATACAAACATATCCTTTTAGTCCCGACAAAAAACCAACGAGACAACCCGACCTCAGGGCGACCAGTTAAATCGACGTTTTACTGTAAGTTTTAAAAAGGATTCTCTGAGGTACGTACGTTGACGTTTATGAATGTAGGAGTATGTATTAGAAGCGTAGTTGGTGAAGTATATTGCAGTAATGAGTGGAATATACGAAAATTTAGGTCGATAGAGCTAATTGCCTAGCCTTCTTCCATAGAATAACTACATTGAACATTGCTACATGTGCATATCGAGATTAGGTTATCTACAAGTATCTACTATCAATTATTATCTTGTAATAATAATTTGTAGTTAAGGTTTAAATTTGTATGCATCCTTATATTGGCAATCTGACACATACCGTCTCCTATTAGTTTGTCAACTACCCTTAGCATGGGTAATCAGTGAGAGTAAACTAGGATATTTAATGAGAAGAATAACAAAATAAGCAATACACTCATCTCCATTCATACTTGGCTTAAAATACCTACTTTTTATGGTCATCATTTAATAAGAAAGTATTAATAACTTTTTAAACTGGAATTTTCACAGCAGTGAGGGAAGGTGAATGTTTTGTTTAGAGTTAAAAGTACTACAACATACTAAATCTTAAGGAAACTTGTTCGGGCGCTTTTCTTAAAATCCATTCATATTTTGCGCTATTTAATGGCCAATGGGGTATTTATCGTTTTTATCCTTTTTATTTAATCACCCTTTTTACTACGCTGTGTGTATGTGTTAAGTGTTACCATGTTTTACAGACTACACATGTTGTCCGATTTTGATTAAATTCGGTAATTGGGTACTTGATATTATTTATCATGGAAATACTAATCCATGGTATCTTCAGACTTTTTATGTTAAGAAATTTTAACTTTTAGTGTTGATTCTTCTATACTGCAGGCTACTCTAATTTCATTAAACCCGCCCTTCATGTACCAAACACGATCTAATGTTTTGTCTTCAAACGTTCCATAAGTATGATGAAGCAAGTTGGATCTATAACAACCACTGTTGACAGTTCTTTTGTCAACTTGGAGTTAAAAGTGAACATAGTGCAATATGACACCGACAGATTGTGCTGATGTCGAATTTTAACCCTCCTATTGTTGTTATTTGAAAGTCTCTGACAGAAATAATGTTGTTAACAATAGGATGTTAGACGTGCTAATTAAAAGTTTGGAATGACAAAACCCTTTGAAAATAGTATACTACTTAAATCGTTCATCCAATTACCATTTGCAGTTTGGAATAACAAATACAGTAACTTAGTTCAATTGAACAACCAAAAGAGTGTGCTGTAAATAATACCATTTTCCATTTAAGTAATAATTCCGAACAGAAAGAACAACTCATTGTATCTAGATTATCATCAGCTCTAGTAGAATTAACAAATTAAAAAATAAAATATATCTTCAGAAGTGTTAGTAGCGTATTCAAATATGTTTGGTAAAACAATTGTTGCAGCTCGTCCTTATGGATCAAACTCAGTATCCAAAATCAATGACAAAATTAAGTAGTAGTTTACTTTAGCTAAGTCACACTATTCAACTTAAGGCCTCATAAAATAAATATTATTTTGATTAAAATTTAGTATTTAGTCATTTTATCTAAAAAAAAAAAAAAAAAAAAACACTACAGTTACACGCACCACTTACCCATTATAAGGGTTGTTGATAAGCTAATGGAAGCAAGCACGTTGTTGATAACTTTTATTTAGAGTAGCATATTAGTAAATTATATAAAGAAAAATGTTTTAGAACTACAACCATTAAAGTATATTTCGTACCTAGGGCCGAAAATGAGGTTTTGCCGGCTCGAGATAGTTTTTAAAAGTCGAGAACTTAAATCGATCGAGAGCTGCAAAACCATTTCGGTCCGTGGTACGAACGTTATTTTTCACCACACTATACCCTATTACCACTATTCACCACTATAATAATGCACACTGATAGTCAACACAACTACAACTTTAAGGTTATGTGAAGAAATAATTTGAGAAATCAGCAACAATAAAAATAAATAGTTGCTAGGCAACGGTGATAATAACGCAATTCTATTGCAATGCTATGGATTTTGATTGTGTACTATTTAAAATGCATTCATGTTTTAAGTAAACGGACAGCTTATTTTGCGGCCCGGGGCTGTAAAAACCTGCTCGGTCCCCAAATTACGATGACAGCTGGCATGGCCAGCAAAACGTAACTTTCAGCGACCAATTAACGTATGTAATACAGCCAAAAACATCATAGTGTGGTGAAAAATCCCTTTCAAATATCAATTACTTCTTTTCCATTATCAACATGTTGTATTTGTAATCCGTTTCCCAACAATATATTTTGTAAGTAACTTATGATAAAAGTCAACTTTCATAATTGATAACTAACGGGAACGGGAAAGTATGTAGGATGTTTTGGATTGGAGGCAAACTCCTATGCGGCCGTACCAGTGGTGGATGTCGAGCCAGATGCTTGCGATATTAAAATGCCAAGGACCTCCGAAGGACTGGCGATACCCAGCCTCGTGGCCACTAAACATGTCAAGAGAAACAGTTTACATACACCATGGTTACTATTTGAACCAATATTTCATAATTGTTCACTGTCCTGAGGTAAAACTTGT